AAAAAAATATTCCCAAACTATCAATATTTATCTTAAAGCAGTAAATATTGTCAACATATGGAAAGAAAACATACTTTAGCAATTTAAAATACAAATTTGAATTATTAAATAAGGATTACATGATACAATAAAACACTTATATTCTTATTCAAACTTATATTCTTCTTAACTTCTTTAAATCTTTCTGTAATTTTTTTTCACTATTCTCCCAAAGTACACATGGATCTGTTTTCTCTTGAAAAACGTCATAGATCTGTGAAGACTCATCTTGGCAACAGAGGCTATCGAGGAATCGTCTTTCTTCTCTATTCCCTTTAGAAAATTTTGTGTTCTTATAGAAATCTTACCACAGTCTCTTCCATTGCTGGCAAATTTCACAAGCTCATATTTCAACCCTCTGGTGACACTGGTTTTTGGATCTCTCAGGAAGACCTGTATTTAAACAGCATTTATTAACTAAATTTGTGTGATTATTTATTTTAGTTCCTAATTTCATAAACTTACATTCATTAAGATGGCATTTACATTATTAAAGAAAGTATGACTGCAAGAGGTCATAAATTGTAAGTTGATATGTATTTGGTGACAAAAAAACGTCATGATCAGTTAAAGCCAGTCATGGCACTCGGATGGTTAAAATTAAGTTTAAGGCAAAAAATATTGCAATTTGTGTATAGAAAGCATTGAAACTTGGAAACAACAAAAAAAGAATGCATATGAAAATGGCAGCTTTGCATGACTGAAAGATTGTTATGAGGTTGGTTGCCAGAGTTTGTCAATTTCTCAAAATTTGGTGACTTCTACTAAAGTGGTTGTGTGAACACATAAGTACCACATTTTCTTCATATCTTGGCAAATCCCACGTTATGGAATCTGTTAGAATAATCCATTCAGGAAAGAATAATCCAAGCTAAACCTGTAAGACCACATACTCTTAAGATAAAAATGCTAAATAACATGGCTTTAATGGAAAAGTCCTGTAGAAAGATCAACATGTACAATCTGCATGCTAAATATTTTAGTAAAAATTTTCTTTGATTAGGATTCAAACTTTTATCGAGGTGAGGGGAAAAAAATTACATTTGTTGTAGTGAATTAACCATCAAATGTGTCAAGTGAGGTGAAAGCATTTACTGTTCTGATATCAGAATACCAGTATTTAATAAAGAAATTATATAAAACTGAACAAATACAAAATTTAGTTATTTATTTGTGCATTGTTTTCGCTATTTATAGTTTTAAAAAATTTTATTTAAATCAATTTCTAACTGAAGTTTTCTGCAAAACTATTTATGAGATACAGTACTTGGCAGATGTGAGTATTTTCAGATTAAATTTGCAATGATAGTGTCATTTTAGAGAGTGTTCCAGGTCATTTAAAACTGAAATCTGAATATGTGAGAATCTGAATATTTTTAGATAACAGTGAAAAAAAAAAAAAAACACGCAAACTGGTTGAACATGGTAACTTATGATATATGCTTATACAGCTAATATAGTCATTGCAGGCAATCTAACACCACTGTACCAGACACCACATTATTGTATTGTTAAATTATTTCTTTGTGTTGGCAATAACTCTGATATAAGTAATAGTTTGAATTTTAATTTATTTAATAGAATCCATATTTCTAAAGATTACATTTTATATTGCATGTAATATTATCATTTGCCTGAAAAATTTTGGAAACTGTTGATATACTGAATAATTGAAAATAATGTCCAAAATTTACTTTATAGGAAAATCAATGCTAAGATGATTTGCGTAATTTTTTGTGCATTTTTGTAAAGATGTAAGAAATAATTAGAAGTCCATTCAGTGGTAGTTTTATAAGATGATTCAATCTAAACTATCCTTTCAGCTTGAATTTCAAACAAGGAAATAAGCAAAACTGTTCTGCTGACAAATCAAGAGAAATGAGATATGTTCCAAGTATTGTTGTCCAACAGTAGTGTTCCAGTACTGTGTGAATATTTCAACAAAGATAAATGTGTATCATTTGGGTAGGGGCTTGCTTTTTCTGATCGTTGCATGTCATGATGTGACATCATGACATGCAATGATCAGAATCATCATCAGTCTAAATTCTTATAATAATAATATACATATATATTTTAATTTAAACTTAGTTTCTAAATTTATTTTCCTCGCAATAGTATAGTATTAATATTATTAAATCAAGTGTCAGTTTGCACAAAATTAAAAGATAATTATTTATTTACAACTAATGAAAATGTTTAGCAGTGGAAAAAGCTTTTTCTAAAAATGGCCAGTAATATATAGATCTAAAAGATTTATATCTATTATAGATATAAAAAAATTACAAACGAATTGTTACAGTATCTGTTGCCAGATTCCTATGCTTCTAAGTAAGTATTAAAAGTAAGTCTTCTAAGTAAGTCTTAGATCAAATGCTAATGTGAATTTCTGCATACCTGTGATCATTATGCTGCTTGGGCCATAGTGTACTGTTCCATAGATGTAACTTCACAGTTAACTAAATAAATGTTAATAGAAAGAAATAGTTTCACTTTCGAAAACGTTTACTGCATACTAATGTATTTTGCTGATTTTTTGAAGTCATAAATCAACTAAGTGTTGTGTTGTTAGACTTCTTAAGATCTGGTTAATAAGTCCATCATAGTATGAGAATTTGTTTTTGTCTTCTGTTGTGTCGTTGGTAAGAATAACTGGCAGTGGTGCAAATCAAGCTTAAGAAAGTGTGATTTGGTGTCAGATGTTGAAACATCCACGAAAATGAAATTGACTTAACAGCAGTTCTTTTAGTATCTATACAGGACAAGTTGTTTGATAAATATGTGTAGAAGAATTTACTATAAATTTCTATTTATTATAGTATTTAATACTATTTTGTTAGCAATTTATATAAAATTACAATTTAATTCAACAGAGCTTTTTTTAACTTTTTGAGCGTTATGACCGGCTTTATCTGTTCATCAGAAGCTTTGCTACTTGGCATATATTAGCTTATAATTTAAGATATTTTTCTTTCTTTCTTTAATAATGTAGATATCATCTTAATGAATGTAAATTTATGAAAATATAGAGTAAAATAAGTAATTATACAAACTCAAGTAATAATAAATGCTGTTTAAATACCAGTCTTCATGACGGATCTAAAATCCTGCGTCCCTCAGAGGGTTAATATGTAGGCATTTATAATCATATTTAGTGCAATTATATAAGCAATTTCATGTAAGCAACGACATATATAAATATACCAGAAATTTTATTTAATGCAATTTTGTTTGCAATTTATTAATATATATATATATATATATATATATGTACCAGAATATTAACTTTTTTCATATGTTTTTTGATGGCCACATTTCAGCAATTGCTGCTAAATAATACCTCAACCATTAACTATATATTCTTTTTCCATTGATGGAACATTGTAAGTAGTAAGCATAATGAGTATTTTACAAAGAAAAACTGCTATATTGGTACAATGCAATTATGAAAAACAGATTGTTAACCGATTCTTTCTCGCACATTGCACAGTTCAGTTACATTTTCTTGTGCATTGTGTAGATCAGTAACCGTTTGCTTGTCACTAGTGCAGAAATGTGCCAAATGCACATGCGCCAATGCTACTACAGAAGACAAGTGCCTGAGAATCAATTAATATTTCTTTGTGCAGGGTAAGTCGTTGGTTTTCAAAATTCTGAAAGCCAGGAGCAATTAGAATGTTCTGGATATGAAAACTTTAGCAGAATAAAAGAGTGATATTTTAGATATTTACAGAGAGTATTTACACGTTTTCGAACAGTTTAATAAAGAATTAAAAAAAGAAAATGATCTGAAGTAAGAACTTCTGGCAACAACTTATTGAAATGTGGAGTATAATCTGTTACTTCTAAATTTATTCTTGCGAAATGATCCATATAAACTTGCTGTGGATTGAAGGGTATGTTTTGTGCTTTCCAAAGACAAATAATGTTCCTGTTCTATAATTCAAAAACATTGTGAAAGGTGTAGTATTAAAATTTCTAAGTGCAGCATTATTAATTAAATAACTATCAATCATTACTTCTGCATAGAAAGAAAACTCCAAATGAATATCTGAAAAAGGGTGTGTACTGTTCCTAATGCTGAATTAGCGGTAACGAGAAAATGTGTGGATGTAGAAATCAATCGCAAAGTTTTTAAATACGTCTGCAACAAGAATAACTAAAATAGTAAAACAACCACTTTATAACTTAAAAAAGCTAAAAAACATAATATTCACTAGCCTTTGATGATCTGTAAATGTATCAGTTCATATATGCAAGCGAGATATATTGTTTTTAGTTTATTGAGAGAGTATGGAATTGTAAAATTTTCTCAGCTGGATGATATGCTGAAGAAATTGTAGGATAAAGAGCATTTTGTTGTTACAAGGGTTAGTGCTACTTTATCATAATGAAGTGCACAAAATAGTATTTAGTTCAATTAAAATATAATGGAGATGATTCAGTCTTTCTTCAAAAATTTAATTGTTTATGGTAGGCTTCCATTCTCTTTATGATTCGACCTTAGGCCAGGTAAATGACTGACTAGTTAATATGGGCTTTCGTAGGCTGTAAACCAGAATTCAAAATAGATTTTAATATGTATGCATAAGTATTTATTAAACAATTCTGGTTAAAAAATTAATTATTCAAATTAAATTAAAAAAGATCTAATAAAAATTTAATATTCCAAGCACTTACAGTTCTGAATTCTCCAATAACAACCACTGATATTTTGAAAGCTATCGTTTCAGCTATGAGTCACTGCAGCATAAGACTCATAACTGAAATGTAAGCTTTCCTGATTGAAGTAATGCATTACCTGTGAATACAGTGATCTGTATATTTTCCTAACAGTGCCAATGAATTGATTGGGGGGGAGGGAAGAGGTTTTGGAAAATATATGGTCATTTAAAGTAAGACCAGATAAAATTTCATTTATTTCATTAAACAATATATTTCATTTTATTAGAGTTTGCAAAGTTGTGTATTAAATATTTATGTTATATTTCAGTGCAGACACAACCATTAAAGTGTGGAATGTGCATGGAGGCAAAGAAGTTTCTAGTTTTGCGGGACATAGTGATGTTGTGACATCTATAGTTTTGCTAAATGCTCGTCATTCTCAAAAGTTAAGTACCCTGCTGAAATGGGGTCAAGTCTCGAGAATTGTAGTTAGTGCTTCGTTGGACTGTCATATTAAGTTATGGTCATTGTTAAACGGTAATTATAGCAATAATTAATTCTTGAAAATTATTTTGCTTAATAGATATTTAATACTGAGCTGCTTTATTTAATAATCTATGGCTATTTAAATAGATTTTGAGAGTTTGCGATCAATTATGAACAATATTCTTTATTCTTAATAATTTGGCCTGTATTTTGAATAAGATACTCAGCTTACTTTTATTATATTATTGTATGTATGCTGCAGAATTGTGGAATATAATTTTTTCGTAGCCTACCGTAATTTCAAGAAGAAGCGCCGCTGCGTTTACGTGTTTAAAACTTGAATTTTCAGGGGGTGCGGCATTTCTATCCATGCGGCGCTTAGATGCACTAAAAACAAAATGTTTCCTATGATGTCATTGTGTATAGTTTGGATGACCTTGTTATTGTACATAGTTTGGATGACCTTGTTATTGTACATAGTTTGGATGACCTTGTCATTGTACATAGATTGGTGCTGTTCCCATGCAAAAGACCATTCACTTGCTTTCTGTGAACTGTATTTTGTTTACTTTTTTCCCTTGAATGGACCTGCGTACTTTATTCACCCTAAACGGGATCTCCGAACAATAACATTCTTCCCTTTTTCAAATCAGCATTTTCATCAGTTTGAATAGTCTTTCTTCTCTGCCATTCAAAGAATCTTTCAGGGCCCATCCTCTTCCCCAACCCTGCCTTTTCCATTGTAAATCTACTGCAATTTTGTTCAAAAGCAAACATCACCTGCGTTGCAGCAAAGAATTCTGATGTGTTTCCCCTTCAGCACGAATCGATTTTTCTTGGCATTCTGCCAGATACAGATCCCATCAGTATGGGTACAAGTACTTGTGGGAGAGTTTTAAAGTAAGGAGGGAGCGGAAAGTTTTTGAAAATGACACCTAAACAGCACAGAATCTATACTGCTGGTTTTAAGCTTAATGTAATTTCATGTGCTGAACAAATTGGAAATAGAGAAGCAGCCCGAGAGTTTGAAATGGATGAGAGATGCATTCGACGTTGGAGAACTGAAAAAGAACTTAAAAATATGTCACAACAGAATAGAGCCAAAAGAAGTGGTACTGTAAGGTAGGCAAATCTAGAGGATAACCTTGGAAGCCAAATAAAGGAGCAACGAGGAAAGGGAATGGCAATTTCAACTATAAAAATTCGCTTACAAGCAAAATTTATGGCAAAACAAATGAACATAAATGATTTCAAAAGAGGGCCTTGCTGATGTAGCAAATTTATGAAAAGAAAAAATATTTCTATGTATACTAGATTAACAGTCAGACAACAATGGACCAATGATTACCAATGGTCTGACAGGATAAAAAAGCATCTTTTCTAAAATATGTGACAGATATTGACCAAAAAAAACTTCTTCCATAACAGATAATAAATATGGATAAAATGCCATTAGCTTTCGACTCTCCTCCAAACAGAACTGTTGATGAAATTGGTGCAAAACTATATCTGTGCTTACGATGGGACATGAAAGAACGTTATTTACACGTATGTTAGCTTGTGCCGCAAACGGTGACAAGCTAAAGTCAATGATTGTTTTTAAAAGAAAAGACTATTCCGAAGGGAGATTTTCTTAATGACGTAATTATTTGTGCAAATGAGAATGGATGGATGTGCGAACAATCATGCATGTGGGGCTATAAAAAGTTTGGCAGTGTTATAAGGGATCTTTTTTCCAACCAAAGGGTTATTGATAATGGATTCCATGCGTGCTCATTTACTTGAGTCATTGAAAACCAGATGTCAAAAACTGTCTACAACCGTAGCAATAATTCCTGGTGGTTTGACAAACCATTAGGTTACAACCATTAGATTTGCCAGATAATAAATACTTCAAAGCTGAAGTCCGAAAGTGGTGGGAGTGTTGGATGAGTGAAGGATTGCATACGTATACCAAAAGCTTCAAAATGCATAGAGCATCTTATGAAGTTGCAAAGTGAGTAGGAAGTGCGTGGAAATCAGTGAAAACATCATCAATAATAGCAGCATTCAAAGAAGCTGAAATTATGTTCTCAGATAAAGAGACTGTAAACCAAGAGGATGAATGTGACGATCTGGAAGACTTGGACTAAGATCAGGATTTACTAAATCTTTTTAATTCAGATAGTGAAGAATCAGATTTTGATGGCTTCATTTGATGTATAGTTTGCTGTAATTCCTTTGTAAGTAAATTAAAAAATTTTCTTTTGTTATCCAAATTTAATATCTCGTTGTTGCAACATTTTTTATAATATAGTATGAGTATGACAAATATGGACTTCTTTAGTGGGGAAATATAAGTATATTCGTGAACATAAATATATTTTCAACATTTCTTACCTTTAATTTATTTTTGAGTTATAGTTTCATGTCATGCATTTTTCTTAACTGGTATGTCATATATCAGGACATAGGTCAAGATTTTGCATCTATATGGTCCACAACGGTGTCACGCATGATTTAATCTATTGCGGTGTTTGCTGATGCATTGTTTCTGCATAATTTTTTTCCCACCATTTTTCTCTAGTGCGACGTTTACTCTGATGTGGCCTTTCTTCTGGAAATTATGGTTAATTCTAAAATGCTAAAAACTATTTTTTTATTGGCTTTGAAGTTAAGTATTGTATTTAGTTCTAACTATGAAAATAGGTAGTGACTGTGTAATTTCTGCCACAATACTCCAAACAATAATTGATATAATGTTTGAAAAGTTATAAACTTTTTTAGTGAAAATTAAATTCTTTAAAAAGCTGTGTACTTGTATTATGTAGTATAGGAATGACAAGGGTATATGTTTGTTTTATTAGTCATTGCTTTCAGGTATTTGTAAAAATTAGGAAAAAAAATATTTTAAATATGTTTTGTATAGTAATTTTATATTTTAAATATGTTTTTAAATTATTTATTTGATGCTTAAATTTATAACATGTGTTTAGAGATCCCACATAAACTGTTTGTGATCAACAACTTGGAAGATGAATTTTAAATGCTGTCACAGTAATGGCATCTGACTGCAAAGAGCTAATTTTATTTTATTATTTACATGCTGCAGGAACCTTATTTTGGCTAAGTTCCTTCCTTCTGCAGTTCTCTTCCTCAATTTAATGTAAAGTATTGTACTTGCCCATGTGCAAGAATGAATGTTACTCCTCTTTATAGCTTATGACAAAATTTCTTCATGCAAAAAAATCAATTAATGATATTATGAAACTTTTAAGTGAGTAGTAGGATTTCCATTGCAAAAGTAGGATTTTCATTGAAACTAGCAGTTCATGTATATGATGTATTGCATGAAGAAATTATGTTGTATTTATGCATATTATATATATATATCTATATTCTCATTCTGTGTAACCATTTTGTTTTCTCATCAGCAGTTTTATCATATAACCCTGTTTAATGCTAGATCATTTGAAACGTATAATTTGATACTGACATTTCTTTCATTTTGTATTTTCTTTTCCATTTCACTTATTTTGCTTCCTTAATGAAAAGTTCTATTAATCCGTAGTAAGCCCATAATAGCAGGCAGGGTGTATATATTTTATATATTCAGTTCTTTTTCATTTATTGCTGGTCTTTTAATTCATGTTGACATCTTTCAGTTTTGACAGTTTTCATGGGTATGATTTACATTTTGTTTGGCTAAACTAATATTTTAAAGATTTTTCTCCTTTTCTTGCAGGTAAAGAACTTCTGTCCATGTATACATATAATGGCATAACTTTTATGGATTATTTTCCTTGTGAATTAGGCATGATTATTGGCACAGGTAACACCTTAATATTAAAAGAATGTACTTCTTAACAAACTTTAAATTAAAATATTAATAGATTTCATTATCAGTATAGTGTTGATCTTTACTGATTGTGTTTTTAACTTTTTTTTAATTATCTCCTCCTAAAATATTTATTATTTTTGTTCTAGATGGTGGGAAATTAGAGTTATGGGATATTGTATCTGCAAAAGTAATTAGTTCTGTTTGTGCACACGAAGCATCTGTGTCAGGAATAAAAGTAATTATGCCAAATTGTATTTGGATAGTAAGGTCATATGTTTTGTATTGCTTATATGTGATGTTCAATTTAATTTCAGAACACATGTTCATATAATTTTTTGAATTACATTTATGCTGTCAGCTAATTGAACTCTTTCTCTTAATAATTTTGAACTATAACCTAATATTCAAAACTCTACCATTTATATTTGTGTTTATCACTCGTGTTGTTCTCAATCACAGTATGACCATTTGTATACTCCTTATATTTTATTATTGAATCCACGATGCTAGCAATAAAATAATTCATAATTTTCTTATAACAAGGTTTAGGAATTCGATTATTAAAAATCTTTCAAGTTTTCAGTTAATTTAACTTAAAAAAGTTTGTATATTTTTCTTTTTTTAACATAATAAATGTAGTGATGTTGTAATTATTATAATGATACAATATTTTTATTTATAACTTAATCAGAGACTCAGGGAAATCATGAATTTTAATTTGGTGCATTAATACAGAGTAGATTTTAATACGTAGGTCAGTCAGAAAGTTAGTTGCACCCCTTTGTAAAAATTTTCTGTCAACTACTATTTTGATGAAACTGTTTGGCAACACTTCAGACATTTAGCTGTATTGTGTGACATAGCGGCTTTCATGAGGCAATTTTAGTTTGTCTGATAATCAGTTGTAAGCGTATCTGGGCAGATGCATGTGGTATCCAAATTTGAAATATGTGCAGTGATTCCTTTTTTTTGTAGGCGAAAAGATATAACTGCCGCGATATTAGTTGCATAAAGTTTATAGTGACAATGCAATGCCACATCAAGTTATCGCAAAGAAGTGCAATTTTATAAAAGTAAGCTTGAGTTTTCGATTATGTCAAAAAGAATTTCCGATCCTGGAGCTGCCAAAGGATCTACAAAGTGAAAGCATGTTTTGATGTCCATCAAACAAAAAGTGGAATTGCTGCAAAAAATGGATAAAGATCTATCCTTTGTTTCTCTAACCATTCTGAAATCTGTTTATAATTTTCACGCTGCTCTGCCCGGGGGGGGGACATTGCAGCACACAATGAACTGGAAGTTGATCTGTCAGCACTATCCTTCAGGGCAGATGTTTTTATTTTATTCGGCTTATAATTCCTTACTAAATGTAGTATTTCATCTTGATGTACTCAATCTTTGATATGATTTAAATCAAATTCCTCGTCATTATAAATATCACGAATACACATCAAATAGTTTTCTGGTTGCAATTGTCTAATTTTGACTGTGCGTAATGTATGCTTTACACATGCGCGCATTGAAAGAATTTTTTAATAAAGTAAACAAATAAATATGAAGCTTTTTTTTTGTAAATTTTGACACCCTTTAGATCATAATTGCTCTTTATTTCATAAATTATGGTTTCATATTTTTAATTTTATAATTTCTGCATGCCATCTTACCAGATTTAAATTGCTGATCTATAATCCGGAAAAACCGATAATCCGGAATCGCTAATGTCCCGACGAGGCCGGATTAAAGACTTTTGACTGTATTAAAACTGCTGTATTTAGGGATTCGTCTTTATCTGTTGAAGAGTCTTGTTTAAAGCATCTATTCTCTCTAAAATCTTTTCCTATATAGTAAGTAACAGTACATATTCAAATGTATCAAGCTTTTTATGTAAATCGGCAGCTTCGGATCTTGTTAATGGTTTTTCATCATTGTTTAAGGAAAAATGACATAAACAATGTTTAATTTCTTCATAATTTTCCTTTAAAGATTTCACAGCATCGGAACAAGCAGACCACCTGGTGTCACAAATAGGGTTAATACTGAAGTGTTTGCTCTTACAAAATTTTTGTAATGCATTCCACCTATGTGTAGAACTTGAAAAACATACATACAATTCCTGAATGATATTGAAAAAGTGGTCATTTGAATGCAACTTTCGGCAGCAGCGTTTCTAATTAAATTTAATGAATGATTTGCGCATGGTATAAAATGGGTCGAAAAAATATGTTGTTTTATTCTGGATTGGAGTCCCTTATATTTACCTGACATATTAAACACATTTTCATAACTCTGTTCCCAACAGTTAGTGATGTCTAAATCTATATTATTTTAAAATTCTAAGATAACTTTCTCCAAGTTTTCTCCAGTATGAGAAAATATAGGTAGAAATCACAAAAATCTGTCTTTTATACCATTTGGAAGAACATAGGGAATAGTGACGGTCAGCTGATCTACATGAGATATATCATGTGTTGAATCAATAATTAGAGAGTAAAATTTGGCTTCCTTTATTTCGTTCACTATTGTAAGTTGTAAATCTTTCAATATAATAGAAATAAATTCATCACATATTGTAGACGACAAATAGTTTATAGAAACGGTGCCGCAGTTTGCATATTTTTTCACGTGTTCCTACAAAAATGGTTAAATTAAAAAATATGATTAATTCGGATAAATATTACAAAGCACCTATATAATATAATTGCCATTATTTTCACTAAAAACACTTCATTTTTACCACAAAACGCTGAAGAGTATAAAGAAATAAATTTGATTGTCGCTATCACATGTTTAATTACTTCCCTCCAACATTTTTTTCATTTATAATTTGTTTTTTCCAGTTCAGTGTCAATGCGTCCGGTAATTGTTATAAAAATTAAAATGGAATTAATGTGGTCACTGGAGTTTTCTTGCTCTGACAATTTTTTATGTACATTTTTCCAATCATTCTGCCCTTTTGTCATTAGCATTGTTTGCTTGGAAAATAATTTATAGACATAACAGTACAATAAATTGTTGGTTTCAGTATAAGCCAACCAATCTCTTTTAACTTTTCCCCTGCTTTGTTCTGAAGAAGGAGGCAATAGTTAATTTTCTTGTGATTTGTTTTGACCCTTCGTTGCATCGAATAGATGATTCTAAAGATTCATTTATTGATTTTGGTGGATTTTTTTTATATAATACTCTCGCATGGCATCTGTTAAGTATTCTGGCCATAATGCAATATTGTTTACAAAACTCTTAGTTTCATCATTACTTTGAGATGATTTTAAATTTATATTTTCTCCTTTCTTTCATCTTCACAAACGGAATTGCTTGGTTTTTCCTGCTGGTCTTTTTGCAGAATGGTTTTGGACACAAATGATGTTTCTGGAGATTGAGCAGGTGAAATTTGTGAAAATGATGACGATTGTTGTAATTGTTCTCCATCTACAGTTAAAAATTTGTCCAATGACCTTTTTTATTTGTTTTGCCACTTTATCTCGATCTGCTTTTCATTTTCGTTTTTCACTTCCACTTAAATGTTTATAGGAGCTCATTTTAAAGACCACGTATTAAAGAAAGAAGAAAATGATCTTCAATTAAATTTATTTTTACTCAATATCACAATCGCAAACAAAATCACAATTTGTTTTATTTTATATTATATATTATTTTAATTAAATAACGTAATACTGTTATAAAAAATTACATTTTTATTTTAGGAATTCCAGAAAGTATTAACTATGAATCCAAAACAATCTGTTTCCAATCAAGTCTAGGTACTTGAGTCTTAATTGCACAGTTTTCAATTACAACTCGCATAAGATGCGATACATTCAGGAGACGCTAATTTTAAAGAGCTACGTTTAACTTTTTAAACATGTGCATAGTAAAGGCTCGATAGGCGCGAGGCTCGATCGTATTTACACACATCTACACTCGCGGGCATGGATGCAAAATCACGGGAACGCTCGTTTACACATGTCGACTTTATCAATCAACGATTCGGAATAATTTGGATATGTTTCAGCAATAATTATGAATATCACATTTTTCTGTTAAATAAAAATAAAAATTAATTATAAAAATTTAACAAATTAAAAACTTAATTTTCGGGACCCAAAAATTACGTGCCCCTGGTATGTGCCTAGGTTGCCTAGGTCTTAGACTACCCTGATACCTGACGACCTTAGACTGCCAATGATGAATGCGAGGGAAGACCATCAACTGCCACAAATTCTGAAATTGCTGCTCACGTAATTGAATGCATTCTTGCAAACAGATGCATAACAATAGCTAAAATCTCTAATCAACTGGATATTTCTCATGGAAGTGTGCATAAAATTACTGCCAATCAGCTTCAATTTCATGAAATTTGTGTTCTATAGGTGCCTCGTCTACTGACGGAGGAACATAAAGGGAAGCATTTTGAAAGTGCGTTGAAATTTCTGCAATGTTACCAAAAGGAAGGAAATGAGGTTTTGAACAAAATTGTGATCGGAGATGAGTCTTGGATTCACCACTTCTCGCCTAAAAGAAACTCAGCTCTCTCAAGTGGAAATATTCCACTTTCCAGACTCGAAAAAAGTGTTGAACTGGTGATGCTGAATCTGTTTTTCTACAGAGAAGGTTTGGTGCATACAGAGTTATTGCCAAAGGGTGCCACAATTAATGCATCTCCTTATTGCGAAACACTAAAACGATTGCGACAATCACTTAAAAATTGACGGCCAGGTAAACTGTCGAGAGGCATTGTGCTCTTACATGGCAATGCAAGACCGCGTGCAAGAAAACAAACCTGCGACCTTCTGAAAAAGTTTAGGTGGGAAGTGTTGGATCACTCTCCTTATAGCCCACACCTTGCACCATATGATTTCCATGTTTTGGGTCCCATAAAAGCAGAACTTATATATATATATATATTTGTGGCGACGATACCACTTGGATGACGAGGTGACAACAGCAACCCAATAATGGTTATTGGGCATTGGATGGAATTTTTTTACAGAAAGCATCGAAAAACTTGTATCCAGCCTCAACAAGTGCTTAAATAACAGATGTAATTACATTGAAAAGTAGATTTTGAATAGAAGTTTAAGATGCAAATAAAGTCATGGTAAAATTTCTCTCATGTTTTTTTTTCCTTAGGTAGTGCAACTAACTTTTTGAATGACCCTTGCATATATAGAAAATATGGAAAATATTTCCGTTTTGCATAGAAAAAACAAAAAGGTCAAAATTTAGCATTTTTACATT